TACCCATCACAGACCGTGACAGAGAAACTGTAGTTGTAAAACATCAGATATACGGTTAGCTCCAAATGTCTCGTAAGGAAATGGAACAAAAGGATTTCCATTTAATTAGTAACAATAGGTTCATCGTGTTTCACATTTTTAATCCCGCAAGGGATTGCGCTAACAGCTTTTTTAATTAATCAAATCTGTCTGACGAAAGTTTCATCAAAGTTTAAAACGAGATGTTTGATTGGGCACTCATAAACAATATTTTCTCAACCTGACCCGATCTATATGAAAATTTAGTCATTCTAGACTTTATTACCGCGTGATCGTATGTGGATGTAAGGGCAGGTCTTCCGTTCACTCATATCTGCACCAAAAGTTCCGATGCGCAAGCCACTGTTGCTAAGACATAATGGATAAAGAAGAAATTTCACTTCGCTCGAAACTCACCAGTCGTCTCTTTTCTAGTAGTAGTGACTGTGGAAATAGCATCCCTAGTTGTTTTTGTGATTGTCGGAGCAACAACGGACGTTGATGGTATGGTAGACGAATTAATGACCACTGAAATAGTTGAGGATTGTGTTGTTGATCGAGTTAAGAGAACTGTTGGAACAATCACTGCAGTTGCTACAATGGCGATTACGAGTAGAATAATAAGAATTCTGACCAGAGGTCCTAGTTTCCTATTTTGAATAATGATATATATGATATATGCTGATTAATTTCGTTAGCTTCGTTATATGAACTTCGAGCGTGTTACTGCCGCGTTAGCAGAGTTAGCAAACTCAAAATTCCCCAATTCTGGCATTGACTTTGGCATAGCCACGTTCTTTGAACCGAATGGATTAGTTAGCGTATAAGGCGTTCTGTCAGCCATGAATGATTAATAATGAAGTAGTTGAAAACAGAAAAGAATATCGAACGCAGAAAAATGCTGACTATATAGTAAGTAATGGTGCATAGTTTGAAAGTACGTCGTTATCTTTTTCAATTCACGCACACCGTGATTTGGCGAGATAAAAAAATCTTTTGTTTTCAAGTCAGCATGACTGAATATTTATTGTTGAAGTTTTTTTTTCGCTCGCATCATTATGAACACAAAGACAAAATAAGAACATTGAGTTGGTTATCAGATACAAAAGAAAACAGAGCTTTGCTCCTTCTAATTATTTTCTTTCTGTCCGCAATTCACATGTTCGTAACTGTTCTCATATGAATTAATTTTCTCACTATATATCAAAGAAACACTCATTACTTTGAAGTCTTAACCAAAGGATGTTGATATTGATGGGTATGAATGCAGGTAAAGATCCGTACCGAGCAACCATTAATGTACATTCACGCCCACACCCATGAAACTCGTACTTTAGATATATATGTGCTCTATTATGTCAATTTTGACTACAACGAATGATAATCAATGATGAAGGAAGATAAGAGTCTGAAAGAAGCTAAGAATAATATAGAAATTAATGTTTTGGCAGACAAAGTAGATTGATTACTTTAAGGTTAGATTTTGAACTATGAGAACACGTGTTGATCTCATAATCGAGATTTTTGACCGTGGAATACTTTTTCCGATTAGAGGTACCTTCAACCATTGGCAGACACATTCAATTACTAGCTCATGATGACGATGAGAACACAGCATCTGATATCAATATTATGTCACAGATGCAATAATATCCGTTTTTCATGAATGAAAATGTGTAACATTTTGGCTTTTTGAAAGAAGATTAAGATGTAATTTTGAAAAATTTTATAATACCTTCTAGATCTCTATAAGCAGAAAATGGAGCTTCAACTTATCTGGATTTTATAAATACTTTATCTAAACATAATGAAATAATAAAGGTCTAAGTTTTTACTGAAATTCAGCAAATTGACTGTTACTATCAAAAACAACATAATTCACACTACTAAACTCAAGTGATATATATGTTTTTTGTAGTTATCAACGTAGATACGTGTGTGGAAGAAAAACAACACATGATACATACCTTTGAGGATGACATTTTCCTTATGTGAAATCTTCAAAATTGCCACTAGTGAACCATATTACTCCTACAAGTATTCATATTTCTTCATTTATTGTCTTGTGATTGATTCGGCTTTTCTCATTATAATTAGTCTTTTGCTATAAACATTTTGTGCAGATGTAAAACGTCGATTTGATCGTATAACATAAAAGTCAATCGATAAATTCGATTTAATTCAATTCGTCTAGCATACTATCTTCTGTAATATGTCTTTGATAGTAAACATTATTATTTGGAAATATTTACATAATGGATTGATAAAAGTAAATGAACATTTTGTATCTATGGTTTAACTCATTCTGAGTAAGAATATTTCAATCTATACTAGTTAGTTTATGAAAAAGAAATTTCTATTTTTCTCAATTCAGTCGTTGAACCAAAAATTACGATTATTCACAAAGAGTACGTCAGCATCGATAATGCTTAAATAAAAAAAAGATCTCTTGTGACAACTGGGTGTATCTTGTTTTGAAAATTCTATTGAATATGATTGCTTATTGTTCACTTGATGGGGATGACAGATGAAATTGTAAAACTTTCAAGTCAAATTTTCGCTGCAAATACATAATACTGAGTCATCTGAAACCCTAACTGCACTCTGCCGAGAAAACGAATATAAAAATATAACTTGCTATTAGACATATTAAGGACAAGAAACTGTAATCTTTTTTCAACAGGAAAAAAGAAACTTTAAAAATTTATATGACACCAAGTAAAAGTTCAATATGCTGATATAACTCAAAATATTTATAGAACACTGAGTCCTGTTATAAAGGAAATCGTATTTGTAGACAAAAGATAAATTGGAAATTTAATTAAAACAATTTCAAAAGATCAAAATCATTACATGAACTGAGACTTTTTTATCACAAGAAGCCTAACAAACCAAAATATAGAAACATAATACTGTAATATTTGAAATCGCATTCTGAAGTGTATGATAAGTTAACAAAGACATCAAAGGAAACTGCATTATCATTTAAATCTAATAGTTCTCTTGCATTCAAACTACTTTTTAAATACAAGATTGCATATGCCTATAAACATAAGATTATTGATTGTTCATTTATTTGAGATAATTAATACAATTCAGAACTATTCACAGCCATACCCGCAAATCCACCTGAAACTAAAACGTTTCCATTTGTTAATACGGATGCTTTGTGTACATATCGTGCATAATTCATACTAGGAGCCATTGTCCAACTTCCTGTTGATATATCATACAACTCAGTACTATCTAGATAATCATCAGGACTTTGTCCACCAGTAACTAAAACTTTCTCATTGATTAATACAGATGCTGTGTGTAAAAATCGTCTTTTATTCATACTACCACTTGTTGTCCAAGTTTCAGTTGAAGAATCATACAACTCAGTACTATTTAGAAAAGAGATACCAGCTCCACCGGTAACTAAAACTTTTCCATTTGTTAACATAGATGCTGTATGTGAATTTCGTGCATCATTCATACTAGCAGTTGTTGTCCAATTTCCTGTTGATGGATCATACAATTCAGCACTATTTAGACGAGAATTACCATCATATCCACCGGTAACTAACACTTTTCCATTTGGTAGTACGGATGCTGTATGCTCATATCGTGCATAATCCATACTACCAGTCGTTATCCAAGTTTCTGTTGATAGATCATACAATTCAGCACTATTCAGATAAGAACTACCATCATATCCACCAGTTACTAACACTTTACCATTTGTTAATACGGATGCTGTATGTGCTTCACGTGCATTATTCATACGAGCTGTTGTCATCCAAGTTTCTGTTGATGGATCATACAATTCAACACTATCTAGACGAGAACTACCATCATATCCACCAGTTACTAAAACTTTTCCATTTTCTAATACGGATGCAGTGTGCCATCGTCGTGCATTATTCATATTATCAGTCATTGTCCAAGTTCCTGTTGATGAATCATACAACTCAGCACTATTTAGAGTAGAACTATCATTCTGTCCACCAGTAACTAACACGTTTCCATTCGTTAAGACGGATGCTGTGTGTAGATATCGCGCAGTATTCATGTTACCGGTGTTGAGCCATCCTAGAAGAATCATTTGAATATATTCATACTGAAAAGTGACGTATGATCGAACACACAAGATTATCTATGTGGAAGTGAAGTGTTTGAAAACATTGTAAGATAAAAATTATTTCTTACTTTGAGTGAAAAAACTTTTAACATTCTATAGACTATGATAAGATTTTCACTTTATTACACAAAATTCTTTATCATTCAGTAAAGACAAGTATGAATATTTTCATATTTTTTGAATGAGGGTGTGGGTGTGATTGAGGGTCTTCTGTTCACCCACATCCACATCCACATCCACACGTACCCTTCCGGTGCACAAATGACTCTTACTAAAAAGAGATGAATGAAGAAGAGATTCGTTTGTACTCGGATCTCACCCATCGATTGTATTTTAGTTGTAGTGACTGTCGAAGTAAGACCCATCGAGATAGTTGAAGATTGCGTTGTCGATCGAGTTAAGAGAACGGTTGGAACAGTCACGGCGGTGACTACAACCGCAATCACGAGTAGAACAAGAAGAGATATGCCCAAAGGACCCAGCTTTCTATATTGACAATGATCTATAACAACAGTTTTCTTTAACTTCGTTATACGAACTTGCCACTTTTCACTTTCACTTCATTAGATTCAACAGTATCGAATTGCTCATATCTTGATGTTGGTGTTAATACAATCGTAGTTCTGGATTCGAATTGATCAGTTAGTCTATCTGCCATGAATGTTAAATAAGTAAATAGTTGATAAGTGATTGTATAAAATTGAATGAAGAAAAAATGTCGATTGTATAATCAGTAATGTGCTATAGTTTGAAAATATGTCTTTATCTTTTGCAACGCACTCGTGGTATAACTTGACGAGATATAGAGCTCTCTACCTATTTAGTCAATGTCGTCATAAGCACGACAACAAAATAAAATCCTTCAATTCGTTATCACATACAAAAGAAAAAAGTGCTTGACGGTTACTAAATGTTTTTCTTTCTATCCACAATTCAGATGTTCTTAACCGTTCTCATTTAAACTCATTTTCTCACTATACATCAAAGAAACACTCATCACTTTGAAATCTTAAGCAAAGAGTGTGGATGTAGGTGAGTATAAACGCAAGCAAGATTCACATTGTTTGCTTAAAGATATGAAAATGAAAACGATGAGTAAATAGAACAATATCATAGCTCATAAGAATACATTTTGTGTGCTTAGATGAATGTTGTACAAAAATGTCGACAATGAATAATAACGATGAGGTGAAACGAATATTGAACGCATTAAAGTCTATAAAAATCTTATTGAATTGTGTCCAAATTAGAAGAACGATGATATATTCATACATGACGAATCAATTTTGCACCTATTTCCGCTGAAACCAACCTGTATCCTCTTATCAGTATCTCAGAAGAATCTTGAGTTATCAGCGTTGTAGCTAGACTTAGAAGAACGTAATTGAGTTTTCGGTTTTCTCTGTGTTATCTATGATTCATGTTTGCAGTTAATGTACACAACTCGTGTGCATCCACATTTACTTCTTCATAATGCTCAACATCTGAGGTTCATCGACCAAACAATGTTACTGCAATAATAATAAACCATTTAGCAAATGTTCTGAATGATTGTAATATATTTAGTTTTCGTATTTATCTGCATCAATATATTATCAAATTTGACTTTAGAAAAAAAATCGATCTTTGAATTTTCAAGCAGAATAGGAGTGAGAAATTCTAGTTTTCTTATTTTGTCATTTCGTCTCTATCATCGGCTCCTGTTCAATTCATATACTCGATGTTCGAAGCATCAAGTTGACTTTCAATATGACTATACTGGCATATGCAGAACTTTTGTTAAGCCTATTATTGTTCAGAGCGAGAAACTTGCAAGGAATATTGGCTTTTGTTTTAATCGCTCTGTGGTGCAAAGAGTCCTTTCAGATCAGTGCGTTACATGTGAACAAACGGTCCAGATAATGTTAAGACAAAAAATGTTTGTTTCTGAACTTGATCAACTGAACGAGCCTAGATTTTTACATATATCTATGCTAAAAGAACTTATTTAGAAAATTAACCCTTGTAAACAATTAAAGTTAAATTAAAGTTTGGTATGTCTTGTTTCGTCTGACATAGCCCATATTATTATAAAAATATTTATTCATTTTCTTCATTTTTTCTTTGATTATAAAAATTTTGAATATCATCATTTGCTATTAATTTTTGTAATTGTTTTAATGTTAATAAATTTTCAACAATATTTTTCGTAATATATTTACAATTTTTAATATTAAGTATATTTAAACGTTTTAATTTTCGACATATAGAATGAATTGTATCATCATTTATTTGTGTTTCACTTAAATAAAGTCGACGTAATGTATTACTATATGAAATAAGTGTATTAATAAATATTCTCGTTGGTATTATACGAAAACAACCATTAAGATTAAGTTCAATTAAATTCGGACATAAATCAATTAAATAATTAATTGATTCTGATTTAAGACATGAAGAATTTTCAAATGAAAGTATTTCAAGTTGTTGAAAAAAAATTTTTTTTGTAGAATTTTTTAATAATTTTTGTGGTATTTGTAAAAAATTTAATGTTCCTGAAAGATTTGTTGTTAACATTTCACATTTATTTAAATAAAGACCATTAAGATTTGATGGTAAACATGTTATATTTCGAATAGCTGTTTGATTAACATGAAAATCATATTGTAATAAATATAAATGACGAAGATTTGGATAAGATATTTGAATCAAAGAATTTAATTGTTCAGTATATGGAGGTGGTTTACCAGTATTACTATGATGTAATCCACCAGAAATTTTTAATATTTCTGTACAATTACGAGGAAAACGACGTAGAAATTTTAATAATACACGATTTGAATAGAATTTTGATGTTAAATCAATTGTTGTCCAAAATTCATCATCATAAGCAATACGACGAAACCATTTACAAACACTATTGAAAAATAAAGAGATTAGATAAATAAAAAAAAAAGAAGCAAACAATTAACAAAACCCAGCAATAATAATAAGTTCATCTATTGTAAGATATTTAAATATTGAAAGAAGTGTTTCATCAGGTAGTTGAAATATTAATCCATTTTGTTCAATATATTCTTCTCGAAGTTCTTTTTTTCGTTTTATACGAGTATTTAAAGACATTTGACAAACGTCTTTAAAAAAAAAATACTCAATTTAAATTATATTTTATATGAGTATATATATAGTCATTGCTCAAATCATATGAAATTTTATTTCATTTGTCAAAATTCTATTTACTCATCATAATTTGAATTATCCAATGAAAAATAATATGACACACCTCCTTTTTACTATTATGTACGATGACGCTAGTTTTCATATAAATTCTCTTTAGAATGAGTTGAGAACTCGAAAGAAAATAAATACATTTAAAGATTTAAGTAAAGTGCTATCGAAATTTATTTATTTTTTAATAGTATACAATATTTTAAACGTCCTAGGAAAAAAACCATCACTCCGAAAGTATACATGGCGATACTAACTATTAGTAATGTTCTCACGTCCTCATTGAATACGAAACTTATATATGCGATAATTTAAAATGATAATCAACAAGTACATTTATTTGTCTATTGACATCCATCAGGAAAAGAATTTCTATGTAGAAAGTTTATTAATTTATCAACAATATTGTATTTGAAAAAAAAATAGATTAACAAAAATATATAAATATCATAGCTGAAATCATAAAATGAAAAAGCAAAACAATATATTCAAGATCTACATTATTGCTTGAGTATCTGATTCGTTAAAAATAACCATGAGTTTTACGGTTTAACATCAGTATTTGTAGCATTAACAGCTTGATAATCAGCTGTAGCTTTTTTGTAATGTTCATTTTGCTTCAGATCTTTTTCATTACGACTCATCATATTATAACCATAATCTAAAAAGAGAAAAATATTTAAAAAGAAAAAATAAAAAATATATTTTTTATAACATACACATAACAACAGCTAGAACAGCAATTGCACCAAATTGACCAACTGGTGAACTTATAAATGATTGTTTATTTGGATTACTAGAATTGAAAAATTTCTCTTGTATAAATAGAATAGAAAGAAAAATTAAATTCACTTTGATAATGGACGTTTATCACCACTAATAGAAGTATCTCGACGTTGTTTATCACTTGTTTTATTAGTTGAATCTATATATGCACGACCTAATGATGGTGCATCAGAACTTGTTTTTGTTGGATTTGTATGATCGGATTTAGTAGCACTTGATGGTAAAACTGATGAATCACCTTTTTTTGTTTCACCTGTTTGTGAAATTGTTTTTGTACTACCCGACATTGGTACACCCTTAAAAAATTTAAATCATTTTGTTTAAAATTATATTCTATATTAAACATATTAAAAAACTAAACGTCTCAAATAACTAGTGAAGCATGTTTCTCTTGAATGACAACACCTAGAATTTTAGAAAGAATGAATATTATTCTTTCAATTTTTTACTCCTACAAGAAAAATCTTCATTTAAAAAAAAAAATAAATTAGATAGTTTTATATAGAAATAAATTTTCTATCAAATGATTACAATGTAAAACTCATATATATATGTTTTTAGTCATATTATACGAATAGAATGTATATTAAATAAAAAATCTCTAGTCAACTATAGATTTTTTGCAAGGATAATTTATCACTAATAAAACGATTTGCCTTATTTATTCCTACAATTCGAACAGAACTCTTTTTTTTTATCAATGCTCAATTTTCAGCGTGGTTCGTTATTTTACTTAATTTAACATTATTATTATCCTAACCATTCATTTAATTGATAAATAAACTTGTTGTACATATCTATCATATCTATAGCAAGCCTCTGAGCTCTAATAACAACTGTGGTAAATCAAAACATTACTAACTATCATCCTTCATATCGACTATACAGTAGTCACAAAAAGTCTCGCTACCAGATAAATAAAAAGTACTTAAACTTCAATCCTTTAGTCTCATAGTTTAACCACAAATAGAACATGTTGAACTCTGATCATAAGGACTTAATTGACTTTCATGCAGAGGAACTAGAAAATCAATATAGAAAACTCATGTGTTGGGTAAATAGTACAGTTTCTGTTTTTTTTCCGCATCACTAATGACTTTTTCTGCTACTAAGAAATTCTATGAAAAAAGTCTGGTGCTAGTTGTTTTCAATTGTTATGAAAGTGTACTGAATGACCTTGACACATAGCCTCGAATGTTATGCACGTGGATGGAACCGCAAAGCCACAACTTAAAATTTAGATTTACTATTTTTCTTCGAAAAATACATATGAGTTCTACAAAGAAAACATCAATATCATACTTGGCCAGGTGTTGGTGGTACTTGACTATTTTGACTGGCTTGAGCACGTGATATTAACGTGGGAACATAACGAGGGTTGGTGAGTATTCCACGTGTTCGCAAAAGATATGTACTCATTATTTAAAAATCTAAAACACAAACAAAACATTAAAAAAAAATAAAATAGAACTTTCGTTCGCTAGATTATTCTTTCTGCTTTAACAATTAGGATAAAAAGTACAAGAGGGGAAAAAAAAAACGGGTTTTTTTTTTCTATGGAAAAGTCTATGAATTTCATTGACATTATGTTCAGTATAATTTATTTTTTTCATGGATTAACACCTTCATGAGGTTTATCTGGATTATTATCGTGGGCTATTTTGACATGAACAGCAGATTTAGGTTGAAGATCTGGTCTTGTTATACGTGCTTGCATATCTTGCAAATTTGCTACTTGATTTGGTGCATTACCAAGTAACATTTTATAAGCTCCATCTAATAGAAATAATAAATATATTATTATTTCGATTAAATTAATTATTTTTTGTTTTTAAACTTACAAACTGATATAGCAGTAAGAGCTACCAAACCAAATTGACCTATAGGACTTTTTAAAATTGATTCATGTCTATACAATAAACAAGAATGAATTAGAATTTGAACAAAATTTATTTTATTTGTATAATATACTCTTTATCTTGACCATCTTTCGATTCAGATACTTTAGCATCTCCTGTTGTCTTATTTGGATTTGTATTATCATGAGCTGTTTGTACACCTGGTAACATACTTGCACTACTACCACCACCACCAATACTAGTTCTTGCCGTAATAGATGGTCCATTTGTAGTAATAAATTGACCAGAACTCGATACAATAGGATTTCCTTCTGTAACTTCAGGTACTTTAACTGGTGAACCTAATGGTAAATTATGCGCATTCATACGTGTTACATGCAACACATTTGTTGTTGTACGAGGTACAAGACGATAAAGATGTGACATTTTAGTTAAATAGTTTTAAATATCTGAAATAATAAAAAACATCTTCGATATATGCATATATATATATATGACTTGCATAATGCACTCTATGACCTATTATTTATAGACGTAGATAGTATGAAATGTCTATGTATTCTAGTGCATATGTGATAATTTTTTTTAGAAATTACTATTCATTGAACAAAAAAAAAATTGTAACATACATCAAAATTTGATAGACATATTGTAGTAAGATTGTACAATGAAGATGTCGAGTGGCATATCTATTTTGAGTACGTAGCCTCACCCGAAAAAAAGTCATCAAAATCGAGTTTTTACAGCCTCAAATTGATTGGATAAATTTCTACCAAAAATTCAAGCTAATTTTTTTAGTTCGGAATCTCGCTGGTCGTTTCGAGCCCAGGCCTAGATCACGAGATATTCACAAAACTAGCGTCACCTATATGATAGTTGCACGAATATCTCGTAATCTAGATTTGGGCTCGAAACGGCCAGCGAGATTCTGAACTAAAAAAATTAGCTTGAATTTCTGATAGAAATTTATTCGATCAATTTGAGGCTGTAAAAACTCGATTTTGATGACTTTTTCTGGTGAGGGTACGTACTATTTATACATATTTAAAAAAAAAAAATACGCAATGGATTGCAATAGATTTCTATTGGTTAATCAACACTATTTTATGTTTTAACTTGAACTCTTGTTTTTCCTAAAGTACTCATTTAATTATAGACTTTTAATTAGGAACTTTTCTTTCCCTGATCAAAAAAATTCAAAAATATTAAAAACATGATGACACGTGATACAATATTGTATTTGACGTTGAGAATAGCGACAACAGGTTAAAGTAGAAATGTGCACTCATTGTTTATCATAATCAACCTTTTCATATATCGGAATCTGTTGTTAATTTTGATGAAATTAGATAATACAGATGATGATATGTTCTAGTAGAAATAATTATCTATTCATATATTTAGAATCAAAAATAGCAGTTTAATGACAAACTTAAGTTCTACAATATTTTAATTTTTAAAAATAGAATAAAATTCTTCTCAATGACCTATAGTCAAATGTCATAAAGTACAGAAATTGTGCGCATATACAAAAAGCAAAATTTAATGCTTTGTTCTATAACTTTGAACATACATGCAAATGAATATTAACAATCAAAATGTCTACTATAAAATTCGGTTCCGATTCCGACCAAAAAACAAAATTCATTCTGGATGATACCAGTCAAAAAGTAGTGCTTGTAGAAAGCAAATCCATTTTAACAAGAAATAAATAATGACATATTGTAGAGTAAAAAAAAACTACTATTCTTTCAGAAACAAACATTTAAAGTACAAAATAGCATGTCAACACAAACTCTGTTCGGTTTTAGCTGCTGTAAATATAATTGACATATTTTTATATATGTCCATTAAAAAATAGTTCTCCTAAAGTTTCTCTGTCAACACATTTTTTTCTTTCAACCAAAATAACATGTGTAGTATTATCATGCAGATCGATACTTTTCATGAATATACAAGTGTAATAAGTATTTAGGAGTAACTGCAAAATTAGAAATTGTGCATGTGTGTGTGTTTGCAATACGATCGCTTATGAGTTGAAAATTAGTTTGTCAATAAATGAATATTTTTGCATTGGATTGAATGCACGTGATGTTTCAATCACGTCCATAAGAGTTCATCAAATATTTGTTGTTTTTTTTTATTATAAACTGGACACAAAAAAAAAAAGAGAGCGAGAGAGAATAACACATACAAATAGAAACTATGTAAGTACATTTTTCATGTTTTCTTATTGTAACATTCCTTCTTCATCTTGTATTGGATTTGAATTGAGACTGTCATCATCATCATCATCATCATATTTTTTAATTTTAACTTGATATTTTTCATTATTTAAAATATTATCTGAACGTGTAGTCGTTATTATAGTTGGTTTATTTTTATTATTATTTTTCTTTGTTATTTTATCTTTTTTCTTACATTCATTTGGTATTGGTTGAAATGTTACAGTTAATTTTGATACTAATGGTTGACAATTTTCTTCATTATCATTACTAGCTAGAGATTTTGATTGTACATCATTATTCGATAAATCAGGAGTTAATTTTTGATGATTACTTGTATAATCAGATTGTGTTGGACCTTTTGATGTAAATGGTAATGTATTTGCTTGAGCTTTTATTTGTTTTGTTAAACGCATATTTTTTTCAGGATGTAATAATATAATATAAACTTTAGGTGAAAATAAACATGCTAATGCTACTGTAGCACATAAGGATATTGTTATACATAGAGTTGCTATGTGTACCTTAGAAACAAAAAAAAAAAATTAGTAATCAAAACAATTTGTCTAATCTAAATTTAAATTACTTGATGACGACCAGTTTCATAAGCTGTAAAATAAATCGGAAGAAATGCTAACCTAGAATAGAAAAAAAATAAAATCGTTAGAATTTTATTTTTATCTAAAAAAAAAATTTTTAACAAACCAAATAATACATGTTGTATAACAAGTAAAACCAATAAATTTTGTTTCATTAAAATTTTCTGGTACTTTACGTGTACGTATAGCATACATTGTACATACAAGTACAAGTAAAACATTATAAGTTAATGAAAAAAGAAATGAATGTTTATTCATATGACATTTAAGTGTAACTGAACGATCATAAGCTATTAAATCTACAGAAGGACGTTCATATGCAAGCCATAATAATGAAAGAAGAAGTTGAACCAATATTAAACATGAACAAATAGCTACTTGAGAATTTGGAGATATATATTGAGGACGTAATTTACCTAAAAAAAAATAAAATTAATTTTATTGTTAAGATTCGTCGTTACAATTTTTTCTTTTTGTGGAAATAGAAGAAATGTTCTTTTAACCTTTCATAGTCATGCATTAATCTCAAGCATTAAGTCTATCATGTAAGAAAAACATACTGCAATAGAATAGTGACCAGAAGACAGTCAATCGTTTAAGTATCAAACTACTACAAGTATGGTGTCTATTATACCGAACGATCGACTATTGATATTACTATTTTATAATAAAAAATTTGAATTTACCTTGTTTTTTTGTACTTTCAAATATTCGTGCAATACGATTTGTTTTTGTTAATAATGCTGCATACATCATTGAAAATCCTAAACCTATACCTAAACGTTGAATAATGCATGTTATAACATGTGGTTTTACTAAAATTGGAAATGTCATTAAATAACATAAATGTATTCCTGCTAACATTATAAAACAAAGTTCTTTTCCACTGGCTTTAACAACAGGTGTTTCACGTTTTTTATAAAAAAGTATAACAACAAATAATGTAAGAATATTTCCAATTATTGATAAACATATTGGTACAAGTGCTTGTATTGATAATATATCAATATATGTTTCTTGAAGTTTATAACATGATGTACGATTTATTGTTGGCCAATATCCAATTGCACATTGTTCACAACGTTCATGTTCATGTGATTCAACAACAATTGACGTTTCATTACATGGTATACATACCCAACAACATGAATCACCTTGAATTTGTCTTAATTCACCTACACGACATGGTTCTGAACAACGTGATATAGGAATTATTGTTGTTGTTGTTGATGATAGACTATGAATATTTGAACTTGGCCAAACAATTGAATCAGTAGCTAAATTTAATTGACCATTTTTATTTCGACCTGTTTTCCATTCACCAACAGATACATATTCATATGGTGATGCATTTATATCTGATGATGCTAAATGTGATCGACGATAATTATATATACGATAATGACCTGGTACAAAACGTTCAGAATTAAATTGTATTTGTCGATAATCAGGCACTAGAATAAATAGATAGTTATTTTAGTATATAACTGAGCGGGAATTAGAAGCACTAGTGATTAGAGTCGAACACGAACCATACTCTTAATAGTGTCAATTAAATTTTTCTAAAGGAAGATACGAGATATTTTTTCTTGATTATTTGTATTCGATAACTAGCAGCAGGACATCATATACAGTGGCTCCAAAAATTATTCATACAGGTGTAATTTCGATTTTTTCCCCTAATGGTGACTCCTATGAAGAATCCAAATAGTGATTTGGATAGAGAAAATTGTTTCCAACAAAGGTCCCAGAAAGATGAAATTCTCATCTTATTCCCCAAAACCAGGATCTCTGGAAAACCGAAAACCTATTTTTTCAGCACCCAGACCCCGAAAATAAAAGTTTGTTTTGATTACACAGGGTGATAGAGCAACGAATTCTCTACAAAATGAGATGTCTCCGAGCTCTCCATGACAATTTTTTACTGAACTGCATCAGTTTTAAGGAACACCCTAAAGTGCTTTTTGTCCGATTTTCCCATAGGAAATGGTGAAAATACCATTTTTGAGTGTTTCTTAAAACTGATGCAGTTCAGTAAAAAATTGTCATGGAGAGCTCGGAGACATCTCATTTTGTAGAGAATTCGTTGCTCTATCACCCTGTGTAATCAAAACAAACTTTTATTTTCGGGGTCTGAGTGCTGAAAAAATAGGTTTTCGGTTTTCCAGAGATCCTGGTTTTGAGGAATAAGATGAGAATTTCATCTTTCTGGGACCTTTGTTGGAAACAATTTTCTCTATCCAAATCACTATTTCGATTCTTCATAGGAGTTACCATTAGGGAAAAAAATCGAAATTACACCTGTATGAATAATTTTTGGAGCCACTGTATATTGCAGTGTACCATTCCATCAGATCGTGTCCGAAATCTATTCGACAAACTCTACTTATGATATGGAAATTTTCTTATGGGTATTTTGTATTAGAATTCTTCTGCTTTTAGATTCATATACCTATAAAAATAAATTCTTAACGTATAGTTCGATAACTCTAAGAATTAGTTTCAACTAGGTGAACATGACCCGAAACGATTTGATATATGACTACTCTATGGGAACATATAGTTAATAATATGGTCGAAAATATTATATATTTTTTTCAGC